ATATCATTGTTTGCTCATATTTATCTTATCACCTCCCTTGTTCCAACCCTCTTCAGTCAATCTTCTCTTCCTCCAAATATTCCAAGTCGACATTATACATAGATTATTTATGAGCAATCTACTGAGTCCATTTAGTTACACCCTATATGCACATGTGTTCAGGCCTGATGATGTGGGATTGCAAAACCTATGTGAGGGGTTGTCCCTGGAAGAAACTGATTCTACCTCTGTCCACAGGTTTGAACACCTGGTATTTTTATCTATGAGTTGAACCATGTGTACTCTCCCTTATCCATGTTGACATGCCAACAGGTGTTATCATGATGTTAGCTTTGCTAAGGCAACCATATTTTTGAGATTTATGGGTACATTTCACTTGTCATAGGTTGTCAAGGTTGTCATAGGTTGTCAAAAACCTATCCAGCATCAGACATTCTAGTCCTCTGTCTCTTATAATCTTTCTGCCACCTCTTCTGTGATTCTCTTGAATCATTGATAGAGGTGTTGCATTGTAGATGTTTCAGTTGGGCTTTGTACCATTGGGTAACTTACTCATTGTATTTTGACCAATTGTGATTTCCTAACATATGGAGAACAAAGTGCATAGATTTGTCTATGGGGATTGTCTTGACTGTTAATAGGTATAGGGTGGTCGAGCCTACTATGGGACAGCACATCCTAGGCATGTGGTAAAAAATTGTATGAAAAAATCTAGATGAGTATTACTTGACCTGCAAGCTAGATAATAAGTCACATTCTCCTTTGACCTTGTTGTATCTCTTTAGCTTTTAAGTGACTTCTTTAAATAGAGGTAATAGTGTATAGAATATCAAGCAGTGCTGATTTCTGAACTGATTCCCTCAGTGATAGACTGTGACCTGGTATCATAATCCAAAAGGAAAGTTTTTCTGTTCCAAAATTGCATTTTGCCAAGATATTAACCAAAGCAAGAGAAGAAAAACTAATATATAAAGTCCAATAAGTATTGTCAGTATGTGTATCGGTGTAGGCTATCCACTGAAGCCTGGGGAGACTACAAATATCTACACCTTCAAAGAATAGTGTTTATCCTCCTCCAGCAGCTATCAACTGGTCATAGTCCTCTGGATGGATTAGAACCCAACTAGAGCATATTCCCATTTTTGTGAGAAGTTGGTTGGCTTAGTCTTATATAAGTGATTCTCACATGAGTATCCACATAGATCAGCTGAGGCAGAGCACCACATGATCACTGTTCTATACATTTTTATTGGTTGTAGTTATTGTTTGATTGAGGACTACATTATATGTGGTTATAATGATAGATATTTAGAATGTACTTAGGAGTTATGCTGGCTTAGTAAGGAGGTGGTTGTAGGTCTCCTCCAAGATACCTAACCTCACTAGCCTGGGTAGTTGACAATGTTCCCTGGACCAGACATGGTTTTCCTGTTGTTTCTTATGTTCAATTAGAGATCTGTTTATTCCCACAAAGATATGTATGAGTCCTACTACTGCATACTTAGATTTTCATACCATATTGATCATTGTAGTTGATAGACATAGCAGTCAGGGAGGATAATTTGTTGCTTTTCTCCCTTGGAAATTTGAATGCCACCCTCTAATATCATGAAAGTTAGTAATCGGGGAGGATGGCTTCAAGTCAGATCAAGCTGAAATCCTTTCAGTACTGTGTTTTAAATGATGTCATCACCAATAGAGATTCAGTGAAATTTCTGTAATACAAACAAGGTCTATAGAAATAATCTAAAAGGTTTAAGAGTCTCTTGAAATTTCCTGACCAACAACTTGCATGAGGGTATCGTATGTCTGGTATTGAGGGTTTTTTTTAAAATATATCTATAGCTCTTGAGATAAGTACTGTCAGCACAGATGAAAACATTTAATTCAAACTATGTATTCATATGTACACACATTCCTATACTTATATATTTCTATGTATTTTTAGCTAAATAGATACTAATGTGATTACTTAAAATGTTTTAAAATATGGTTACTGTAATTTCACTCTCCTCCATCTTTTTCCTTCTATGTTAGCCTCATTTCTCCTAATTTTTTTCTATTTCTTCCATTAAATTATGTTTACCTTGCTTTCCCAAACACTCGATACCTTTTGTAGCTTTCTGGCCTCTGTGGTTACTCCAAGTTATATTTTTTACATTTGAAGATTTGAAATTATTATCTCTAAAATTAACATTGGAGTTAGGAGTTCAGTGACAGAATATTTGGCATTTTTTTTTTCTGAGTCTTGGTCAAATCACTCAAAATGATTTTTCTAGTTCCATTTACGTAACTGCAGAGTTCATGATGTGCTTTTTCTTCACTTTAGTGTATATTCCATAATAATGCATAGGAGCCACATTTTCATTATCCTTTCATCAATTGAAAGACATTTTGGTTGTTTCCATTCCCCAGTTACTGTGAATAGAACAGCAATAGAACATGGCTAAGCAAATACCTGTGGAGTAGAACAAAGAGTTCTCTGGACATAGAACCAGAAGTGGCATAGCTTAGACATATAATAGACTTATCTTCAATATTTGGAAAATTCTTCACACCTGTTTGAAGAGGAGCTGCACCAATATGCATTCTTCCAAGAATGAATGTGGGTTCCTATTCCCAACACAACTTTCCAAGCATTTGTTGTCAACTGTTTTTTATTTTGTTTTTTTTTGATTCTAGACAATCTGACTGAGTTGAAAAGAAATCTCAAAGTTATTTTTTTGCATTTCTCTAATTAATAACGATGATGAGCAATATTGAAATTTTTTAGCCATTTTTATTTCCCCTGAGAATTCCATTTAGACAATCATGTTTTCCTAACATCTGCATTTTCTTCACCAGGAACAGATGGGATGAAAAGGGTTGGTTTAGTGAGAGTTGTGGAGATGGCCTCAAGTCACTTTTGTTGTTTTTGACAGTCCACTAGGGGGCACTGCAGAGTTTCTAGAAATTACATTTTCTTGCATTGCCTAGAGGTGGCAGTGCATGCTGGTATAGCCACTTTGGATATCAGTAGGGTAATTTCTCAGAAAATCAAGAAACAACCTTCCTCAAGACCCAACAATACTGCTTTTGGGTATATACCCAAAGGATGCTCAATCGTACCACAAGGACATGTGCTCAATTATGTTTATAGTGTTTATAGCAGCATTGTCTGTCATAGCCAGAAACTGGAAACAACTTAAGTGCTCATCAACAGAAGAATGGAAAAGGGAAATGTAGTACATTTACAAATGGAGTACTATACAGCAGAAAAAAAACAATGACATCTTGAAATCTGCAGGCAAATGGGTAGAGCTAGAAAACATCATATTGAGTGAGGTAATCCAGACCCAGAAAGACAGTTATCATATGTATTCACTCATAAGTGGTTTTTAGACATAAATCAAAGAAAGGCCAGCCTGCAAATCACAATCCCAAAGAATTTAGACAACAAAGATGTCCCTAAGAAAGATATACATGGATCTAATCTACAAGGGACGTAGAGAAAGACATTTTCTGAGTAAATTGAAAGCATGGGAACCATGGAAGAGGGTACAAGATGAGGGGAGAGGAAGGGCAGGGAGCAAAGAAAAATATATAGCTCAATAAAAACAATTTAAAATTGTCATTAGAAGATATTTGTACACGTTCAATGTAGGTATTTGAATATTATACATTACCTTGGCAAATATCTATTAATAAAAAATAGGTTCCAGAAAATACATAAGGCAGTCCACTCACAAAGCAAGATGTAGGGGTGACTGACTGGAGTTCACCGGAAATTTAGATCTCAGTCATTTCAGATAAAACCACGGGTATCTAGAATCTGTTCACCTGATTTTATGTGCTTATAAATCTATTTTAAAAACAAGTCTCTGAAAAGATGCAAGCAAAATAGACTCTCACTGGGCACTGTAAGGATCGACATTCAAGAGAAAACATCTCCATTGCTTTCAATTTTTAGTTTTATTTTTTAAATTTTCCTATATTCAGAAAAACTATAAATTATTCCAATTCCCTTTATATCATATATAATATATACATGGTATCTATCTATCCATCTATCTATAAACTAGAAAAAAATAAAGAAATATTTAAGAAAAAAACTGGGAAATATGTGGTATGAAAAAGCAGTAGGGGCGGGGCCTCACTGAACTTGAACATGAATTCACAGCCTGGTCAGAATCATCTGTGTTTTCCTGCATAAAAGATCTGGGCAAAAGACAAGAGATGGAAAACGAATCATGGTGAAAACATGGGAATGCCTCGTTTTTCTTAAAACCAATAAAACTGTCATTGGGAACATTTTCTATTCACATGACAATCTGATAATTTCAAAAAATTCTTTTTATTCTTTGTAGTGTATTGTATGCTAATTTGTCCCACTGTGTGATTTAAGGTGCCAGGACTTTCACACTGGATACATTAAGTACACTGAAGTGTGGTCCCATGCTTAGCAGCAGATGGCCACACAGAATGAACTCAATGATGGTTTTGTATCATACTGCTTTGTTGTTATTTTTTGTCTATATTTTATGCTTACCTCTCTTGTTTTTATGGGATTTTGTGTGTATGTTTATTCTTTGTTATTATTTTTAATTCTGGTTGTTTGTTTGACTGTCTTTTTTATTTCTAAAGAGAGAGGTGGAGGGAGAATGAAAGGGCATGTCTTAGGTTAGATACGAAAGCAGAAAAGATCTGGGAGAAGTTGGCAGATGGGAGACAAGATGAGAATACAATGTATGAAATTCTTTTACAAAAAAAATCAAAGAATGTTGCTAGTATTCTTCAAGATTCTGCTTAACCCACTGAAGCCATTATTTTTCCCACCAATATTCAGCATTTATGAATTTCCTTCCTCACACATTTTCCCCCAAATTCCTCTTATAAGAAGTGTTACATTATAAATCTAGTGTCCTAGGCTCTATATCATTGTCCTCCACAGTTTGTGCAGCAATAACCATGCAGAGTCTTGAGATGGAGGTGGGTGGGGTTTCTTTTACAGATGAATGAGGAAGTGTTTCAGAGAGAATCTGTGGTGTGTAAGCATAAGTGTGTTTAGACACAAGACTTGACACCCACACAGATAGAGAGAAGACACCCCAGCAACTGGACAGGGACCATGGAGAGGAAACTGGGAACTGTGCTGGGAATTCTCTGTGTGCAGATTTGCTGTGAGTTGTGCTCCCCTAAGTTGTTTTAGGGATTCTCTAGAGATGGCAGTGGTGGAGGGGGAATGAGTTGATCCAAAGCCCCTGTACGGTCATCCTCATGGTGTCTCCTGGGACATTTGACAGGTGTGGGTGAAAGCCCTTCAGTGATTATGGTTTGTTTTTCTATTTCCACGCAGGGGTGAGGGGAGTTGAGGTGAAGCAGAGTCCTTCAGCCCTGAGTCTCCACGAGGGAAACAGTTCTACTCTGTCATGCAATTTTTCCACAACCATGACAACTGTGCAGTGGTTCCGGCAGAATTCCAGAGGCAGCATCATCAATCTTTTCTACCTGGCTCCAGGAACAAAGGAGCATGGGAGGTTAACGTCAACATTTGACTCCAAGGAGCGCTACAGTACCCTGCACATCAGGGATGCCCAATTGGAGGACTCAGGCACCTACCTCTGTGCTGCGAGTGCACAGTGCTCCCCGCAGGCATGCAGCCTGTCTGCAAACTGCAGCTGGGTGTGCAGCTACAGCCCTAACATTAGGAGACTCTGCAGGAGGTTTTTCACAGATGTGGCTTTATCAGATCTCCAGCAATTACAAAGAAGGTGTGAGGAAATACAAAAATACCACAACTTAAACTCAAATTGACATGATACTGACTTGAGGAAGCTTAAATTTCAGAAACATCCCCTACATTACTAACATGTACACTTTTATTTTATCAAATGTTTATGATAATGGCATGAAATAGAAATCTTTCTTGCACGTTCTAGAATTATTTGGATCATTTCTCAAAATTGGAAACTCAAAGTAACTATTTCCATCCTGTGTTTAGAGAGCATAAGACAACACTTCCAACTAATCTGCTCAATATTAAGTTGATAAAAGAATTAATTTAAAGATCAAATAAATTAATTTTTAGAAATGCAGATAAACCAATGTTACTATTAAATCATGACATCATTTCTACAATGTTTTCATATTTTTCAAAATGCAATGCATTTAATTATGATATATAAACAAACATTTCATATAAAATGATCAGAGCCAATATATATATCCAATTTATATCACAATAATATTTGCAGCAATTAATTCTCCAAAAATATTTATGCTTCTGTAATGTAATACATATACAATTCTTCTCATTGAAACATTGCTTTCAAAAGAAAAAATGGAAACCTCTTAATGGTTACACAATAGGGAAATAATTAATTTTGCAATAATTAAATATGATCCAAACAGCTTCTGTTTCCAAAGGCTTGGCAGATGACAATCTACAGTTAAAAATAAGGTCTGTCATTAGATTCAATAAGGAACCAGAAAACAGTCATGATCACTCATTCATTAATTGTCTATCCATTGCTGTTTTCACATGGAAACAGCAGCTGAGTGCTTACAAAAATAGCTGGATTGTTTAAAACGTTTTCTTTCTAGAGCTTCACAAATTCACTTACCTCCTTGTAATTCAGTCAACTTTATTCCCAATGCAACCACATTTGTTTAAAATGTAGATAGTCTAAGCTTCCCAGATAATAAGCAATTTCTAATTTCCAATAAGATTTGTGTCAGCATGGCTAGAAGTGGTGATACAAGAAATAACAGGGTTTGTTTTTTTTTTTTTACAATAAGAACTATAGATACGGTGTAATTCTATTAGGTGTGCCTTTATATGTTACTTAGCCTTTTTCCATTGCAGATTTTAATATTTTTTCTTGTTCTGTTGTTTAGTGTTTTGATTATTTTATGGCAAGGGAACTTTCTTTTCTGGTCTAATTTATTTGTTATTTAAGCTCCTAGTACCTTTATAGGCATGTCCTTACCTCTGTGCATGGAAACACACAAGTACACAAACAAGCCAGAATAGAACAAAAAAAACAGTAAAAAATAAAAGGCATGAGAAGCTCATATATATACAAAGACACATGGACACACAAAAGGTATTTAAAACCACAAAATTGGAAGCTATTACATCTAATCAAGTGACCAATATCTTTAATAATGATGCAGTTACAACATTATGAGACCAAAAGAAAAGCCCATAAAAACACAATTGAGTTTACTCAAGTTGCCCATCTATTGCTGGGCATGAGGCCTGCCTGGAAGTGTGGCTTGCATACCCAGTGAAATGTTCTTGAATAAATCTAATTTTCCCTTGTAAGCAGTCTTAAATTGGAGATAGTTTCTTGGTTTGGGGGAGATGTTGTCTATCTTGACCTCTCAGCGCTGAGACCCTCATCATATTGGACCTGTGCAGGCCCTTTGCGTGTTAGCACCTGTGGGCTGAATTGAGAATGAGCATATAGGAGGCTGGAGTGGCCAAGTTTGCACCAAAAAAAAGTGAGTTAGAAAAAGGCACAGTTGGCACCAAAAGCATTACAGCTATGCCACAAGTGTGACAGCTATACGAAAAGCATAAGAGCTATGCCAAAAGCATGACAGTTAGAAAAAGGAACAAAATTCAAAAAAGTAGCATTGCAAAGTCCGTGAAGAATACTCCCAGCCAAGATAACACTGAAGGGGAGCAAGCGGGGAAGAGATCTGACTTATTCACAAGAAGATGATTGGAGTTATAGATGGGGTAAGATGACATAAAGTGCCTGATGCCTGCATGATCCCTATTAGGGGCTATAGAAGCCCTGACTCCTGCAGACGTGATTGCTGACGTGATTGGCTGATTTCCCTTCTGTTTCTTCTGGGATTCATGGGTTTTTGCTTTGTAAGTTGCGTGTTGTAAGGAAATAAACGAGTTCCTGCTTGACCCGACTCCCTGCTGCATCTGATTGTCTCCGGGACCCCAGGGGCTGGGTGACAAGTGGCACACTTCTCCTCTTCAGCCAGGGCCAATGGCAGGTGACTGGTTCAATTCTAAGGCAGGGTCTACAGAGGGACCCCACACCACAGATGGAGCCCAACATGAGGCTTGAACCCACAACCCTGGGATTAAGAGTCACAGACTCTACCAACTAAGCTAGCCTGGCCTTCTTTGATGACTTCCTGGAAGAGGAGGGTTGGTAGACATGGGAACATAGGAAGGAACATGTTCATAGGGAACATATGAATCCTAGGATAAACAGGCCCATGCTAGGTCCCAGGAGGAACAACATGATCAGAGGTACCACCCCCAACCGTAGAGGCCACTGCCCACCTGGTCCCAGTGATTAGATGGAAGCCTGGAGACCTTATTTTGGTGGAGCAGTAGCCTTGGCAAAAAATATTTGCCAGGATTAAACTGGGGGCCCTCTGCTCTCTGGTTCAGAAGCAGCTACAGTTGGGACATATACACCCTTCCTGGAGTCCTTGGAATACCCCTGTCTTTGCAATTAAAAAAAGCTAATGGGACTTAGTGCATGCTACAGGACCTCAGTAATATAAATGACAGGGTGGAAATAGCGGGTACCCCTTTGAGGAGCCTCTCCTGGATCTTACTATTCTAGATATTAAGGACTGCTTTTTTTCCACCCCCTCAACACAAATAATTGTGCCAGGTTTGCCAAATGCTATTTATGTCTCTACTGATTGGGGGCCATGCTAGCTCAGCCTATGGAGCCATTGAGGAAGGTTCGGATAAGCCAAAGATACAAAGATTTTGCCCTACTGAAGAATCCATCCAATATAAGGAAATGATCTTATTCATTCTAGCAATTCAAGATTTACATGAGCCCCACAATCTTTACATGGATAGCCTATATATGTCCAATATGACCTTATTCCCCATCTGCCAGGGTCACATGTCTTCCTTTATGCCAGCCCTATTTCCCCTTTATGGTTACATTGTGGAGGCTGTTGAAGGGCCGAGCCCACCCCATTTACTTTAAGCATATGAGGGGACATTCTACACTCCCAGGTATTTTATCACAAGGCAATTCGCAGGCAGACAGATTGGCCTCCGGTATCTGCACCATGACGCTACAGGAGGCTACACAACTACATGAGTTAACACATGTTGACTGGAGAGGGTTACAGTACAGATACCCATGGATCACCATTAAAGACCCTAAAAAGAATGTTCTTACTTGTAAATCCTGTCAGTCTTACCTATGGGTACCACCATTACAAGGTCCTGGGGTAAATCCATGGGGTCTTGGGCCAAATATATTATGGCAAACTGATGTGACTCATCTCATTTTGCACTTTTTGGCAGACTTAAATATGTTTTTGTCTCTATAGACACACATTCTGTGACATGCTGGGCTACAACCCATACAGGGGAAAGAGCCAAACATGCCTATTCACATTTCCTACAAAGCTTTGCCACATTGGGATCCCTATCAAAATAAAAACTGATAATGACCCATGCTTCACCAGAAAGGCCTTTCAGGATTTCCTTCAATCATGGAACGTCACTCATTCAACTGGCATACCTTAAAACCCCAGGGCCAGGCTATTATAGAAAGATATCATGCCTCAAAGAGCAGCTTTTAAAACAAAAGGGGGAGACAGCCCCCATGTACAATTACAATTAGACCTTCTTACACTTAATATTTTAAATCTGCCAAAGGGGTCTTTGGAATCTAGATTTCAATGACACTGGGGACATCTGATTCCTAAACCACATTTACAGGTAAAATGGAAGGATTCATTCACATGCCAATGGAGAGGCCCTGACCCCATTACTCACCTTGGGGAGGGGATATGGATGTGTATTCCCCACTGGGGAGAAGGCACAGATATGGCTATTGGCTAGGAGTCTTAAATTCCTTTTCTCCCTGCCTACACAGCAGGATGCCTAGGATACCACCCCCCTGACCAATAAGGAAAAGAAGGCCCTCTGGTAGACACAGTTGACTTTTAGAAGAAAGACAAATAACTCGCATAACAAACTGCACCAAGGGGCCTGACCCCTTGAGGAGTGCTTATGTTTATTGGTTATTTAAGATGGAGGCCAAGCTGCTCATGTATCTACTGGCCCTGATGGTGACAGTCACCAGCCTGTAGAATGCCCATCAGCCACAGAGGGTAAGATGGGAGGTGGCACTGGAGAAGTCCTGAACGTGACTGAGGAGATCATGCCTGATGCCTGGTGGCTGGAGCTTATCTTTGACCTATGTGACCTGGCCAGAGGATCCTGGGGCATGAGGGATTGGTTTTTCCTACATGAATGGCAACCTGAGTGTAGGGGCAAATGAGAGAGCACCCTGCCTCATACTGCTAACCTACAGGGTCCAGGGTGCTCCCATATTTTAGAACAAGATGCTCTGAGGCAAACAGTCTTTTATATGAGTCTGGGGAGCAACTGGACAATCAAGGAGCTGACTAAATGTGGAAGAGCAGATAAATTCTATAGTGCAGCATGAGGCTATAAACAGACTGGGACAGGATATTGAATAACTCAAAGGGGTCTCATTCAGGTCCAAATGATCCCTCATCCCTTAACTGCACACAGCCCTCTATTTGGGCAATGCTCAACCTATTGTTGTAATTCTATCTCAGTTAAGTTCATGGGAGAGGGAAGAAAAAGAGGAAGAAAATGGGACACTGGAATGTTATGGGGGCTTTAGACTCTACCAGGTCGGTTATGATCAAGGGCTGCTTTTCTCTATACAGAAGATATAACTCAGTTTATATCTGGCATTTATCAAGGATAGCTAGTTTGCAGAGAGAAGCTACAGCCTTGTAAATAGAACAGCCAGTTGCAAAACAAAATGTCCTAGTCTGATGGAGACTTCTTGAGCATCCAAGAAACTAGCTCACTATGAATGATTGATCCTTGATCTGCTGAGAAAGCTGCTGACAGTCTGTTCTCATTCTCCTAAACTTATAACTTTATATTTCTTTATTTCTTCATTCTTATTTCTGAAAAGCTCAGGCTTCTTATTAACTAACTTTTATATCTTAAATTAACCTATTTCCATTCATCTATATCACCATGAGACTGTAGTTTATCAGAAAGTTTTTGGCAGTGGCGTCTTTCTCCTTTGGCAGC